CAAATCCTCCAGATTATGGGTTTCTGTTGAGTCTGACATGAGGTATGTGACAAATATAGCAATAAAATTAGCACGAAAAAAATGGTTTCTATAACACGAATAACTTAAGATAATAATAAAAAAATGAACTATTTATATATCCAACTTAGTTTACGGATAATCAGGTCTACTTTCACGATTGAGTAAAAAAATAATATTAATAACAAAAATGAGGTTAAATTTGTGTTCAAGAAGGGCTCACCAGTTTCGTGCCTATAGGTAACCCTCGTGCTATTGATAGAAGAAACCAGACAAGTAGTGAATAGGTCTTTATTTCGATCTTAGCGCAGTAACAGTGGAGCGTGCGATTATCTGTTCAGACAAACAAAGGCTTTCAACATTCAATATAAGATAATAAGGAATATAATGCTTATACAAAATAAGGAAGTGAATGAATACTTGAACAATACTGTTTTGGCATATGCTTGGTTGTTTGGGGTCAAATCTTAACCAACCAACCTATGCTGTTACAACGCCTCCCCTAGATCCTTTAGCAAACATCTTTAAACCTCGCCAGTCTGATTAGAGTTTTATCAACACAATCAGGTACGCAAATCATCAGTATAAGCAGTCAAGGAAATCTTCTACAAGCCAAAACCACTGTCGACGTTATCTCAACACTGACTTCGGTTCATGTCATTATCATATACATGAGTTGGGAGTTGTCCTCCTCTTGGTTTCAACTCATATTTTCCATGATAATCACATTAGCATCAGTCACTGTTTGTCATCTTGTTAAGACTTGTCTAGCCGAGAGCATCTTTCATCATCACAGCATCTATATGTGTGACACATTGGCTGTGTAGATTTCCACAACCTATAATCACTTAATTTCAAATAAGTCGTTTTCTACCTTATGCGAAACTCGATTCTTGTGATTCTTGCACCATCTGCCAGTAGGTGTGAGTATAAACAACATAGAGTCTAGAACATATCTATCATGAATGCACTTATGTTTAACAAATTGCTTTTAGCTATCTGTCCAAAATGTACACAGTTATAGCTTTTTTCACGTAAAAGAATTTTTGATAACCAACCATATGTATTGGTAGTATTACTAAATTCTATCACAGTTAAGTAATAATGAGGTCGAGGAAATCTCCCTCCAACTAAATAAACCGCATGAAACTTAACAAACTCACTGGAAAACTAGTTGGAACTGTTCTTTTCCACGGTCATACCTTTGTTCCTTTAGGTAGCCTACTAATACAGATGGAATTAGAAATCAACTCATTTGGAGGGCGTATCGATATAAGCGTTATTTAAATTGATAATTCAAGCCAAAATGATGCCATTATCGACATTTCTGTATTTTTGATAGTTTTCAATAATTGTAAACACTAAGTATTTGTAGTAGCTACAAGTTAAGCTATCAACCAACAACTATTACTACTCATGGTAGTGCGACTTATTAATTTATTTCAACACGAAATCATTCTTAATTATCATAACCCTAGTTTGTTTAATTCTAAACTAAGCTTGGTCTGAATTTCATTTTGTGTGTGTTAAGAGTAAAATCAAATACTTTGAAATTACTATATGTATTACTCGATCAGCTGATATCGCTTTCTTTCTGATTTATTTTTCAGCTTATCAATACGAGGAGGTTTCTTATTATTTTTGGTAACCTCCGGCGCGTGATAATACTACTGGATTTGGTATCAAACAAACGTTGCATTGATTCTGTTGGTAGAGTAGTGTAGTGGCATTGGACTCGAACCACACGGTTTTTGAAGCCGGGCATATAATTTCTCAAATAACTTGTATTCAACAGTTGACACGAAGAGGAGGTTGGTTATGGGGAACGCGAGAAACGTAGTTCAATAAATCGGCCGGCATGGCTCAGCCTTGCAGATGGGGTCATTCTTGTGTAACTTGTCTCTTCTATTCCCACTAAACTTATAGTTCTATCTCCAGTCTAATTGTGTTCTCCAACATATATTGGTGATTCCTACGATAAGACGAGTCAGTGTAGACAGTGATGTGATCTTAAAGATTAGGCAATGATATCATGACAAACCTACGATTTTGGGATTAGGTCTATTGTTAGAGCAGTACTAACAACGAAATAGACCATAGTTCTACAAACTCATGTACCACGTACGAATAGTGAAATAGTTACAGTTACTCTCGAATATCAACTAGCAATAAATGTCAAAACAGCGCCACCTCTACATTTCAAATTAGGCAAAAGCCTAATGCTACTAATCTCTAACCTGCAGCCGCCTAATCGACTACGCATCCTTACACTAGTTTAAGGGGACTTAGTAGTAAGATGGAAGGGTCAGAGATGTGTTTCTTTATACAAATTCTAATTGAACCAGGCTCTCCTTTGATGTTACAGACGATATAGTGATAACACAAATTATGACACTACTCAGATGTGACAGAGAACGACGAATAAAAAAGCGGAATATTTATCTACGTTTTCAAGAGCTTCAAAGCTGCAAGACCTGCCATTAAATCAGCTCAGATACCAAAGTCGTATCGCTGCTAACTCAACGAGAACTCAATTAGAGGGATAAACCACCTCAATAGAAATTACACACATGGGGGGGGGTAAGACATTCGAGGTGATATTGTCACCACTTCACTTGTGTTTTGTTCCGATACTCCTAGACAGGGACTTCAGCAACCGATTGATAGGTATCAATGAGGAGTATGTAGGACCTTCATAATGACTTGACAACCAACTTGACGCTGGTACGTAATCATCGGTTGCATTTATTTTGATTCCTAGCAAGATACTACAGTGTAATCAGTCTTTAGGCCAAGCTAAATAAAGAAGCTAAACTAAAAACATCACGGTGGATTTATAGCCCAAAGGGAATTTATAAATGCCATCATACTAGAATTGAGGGAAGTCTTTAATGCCCAGTTTGTCAAAAGGTTAAACCAAGCACTTGGAGATAAAGAACACTCCTCTACTGGCTTGGGAAACATTCACCTAACCTCCAACTTAGTACTGAGAACAATTTCGTCCCTTCAGCCAGGCAAGTCATCGAGATATAACAGCATAGAACTCAAAGTTGTATAACGATGAGCAGAGACTGTCATCACATTGATATATGTGACTTGTTCCATCAACCCCTTATGCAGTCAAATCGGGAGCAATCTCCCGATAATCTTCAGAGGAACACACAAGAAAGACATGACTCGTCGCAGGTAATCACGTCATCCCCGATATTGCTCAAGGTCTAGGTTTAAGAGCATTTGGTCGGCGGCTAAGTAAAGGAATATACGGATCATGGAACTCAAAAACAGAGTTTGGAAAGTAAGGTTTTGGAGTTTAATCACCGGCTAAAACATCTGCAACCAACAAGTATTAGGACACGTAGTACTAATTCACTTTGCAAATGAATCCAACAGTTTACCAAATTTCGGGTTGGATTTTCCTAACTTACTCCTCTCAGATCTCTCAAGTCAATTAGAGGGGCAAATATTCCACACTAAGTTAGGCAGGGAGTATACCTACACTAGGACTCCAACACCCACAGTCCCATGGTGAACTACTTCAAGTCCATTCACTTTATTATTTCCATGAATTGTTCTTTATATAAAATTGTCTTGCTGGTCTGTATCCATGCTAACGATGTCAAGTTCTGGAGGGGGGCAAACTTGCGTTCGAAAATGACACCAAGTTAAAAAAACGTCGAGAAGATAGTTTAAAATTCAGCTTTTCCAAATGCCACGCTATCGACTTTCAACCTCGCATTACACAAAGGACCTGCATGTTTCGTAATTATCCTCTTCCAGATTTATCCACTTGACAAACACGTATTCACCCATGTATTACCGTCCCACATTTGATCAGCCGTCTTATGTGTTTCGTAAATTACCACGGTTATCACTGCTGGACATCAGAAACTACTTCTTATGCTTCGGATCACTGTTTATCCTCTGATTCTTTTAGTTTCGTCTTTTCAAATATTACCCAAACTACAAGATACACAAATCCACAAATATCTATCCAATTGACTAGGATTAGTGAAGTCGAGTGGCTAGGCCATCACTTATTGGACATTACCAAATACATGTAGCCATGCTGAATCAAAGAAAGTGAGCGCAAAGAAATCGACCAATTTATAAAAGCAAGTGACAGAGAGTTTATAGGTTTTGGAATAGCTATTAATTTGACTAGGACTGGAGCAGTCGAGTGACTGGATTACGAACCATTTAATTTTCCTAATGATTTGGAACCGTAAGGAAACAGAAAAGAGAGTGTGTATAAGTGAAAAAAGATTTATATAAGCAAAGGAAGGGAAAACTAAATGCCAGTTCAAACACTAAACCTTTACCCATTAGAAAAAAGACATCTTCAAGGTGACCTAGTGGCTTACAGTATCCATAACACTTCTGGACATCCTCTAAAACACCTAAGTTTGGCTCCAACAAAAACCTAACGGGTAACATCCGGAAAATAGAGATTTGAAGTGGTAAATAAATTCCAAAAATAAAAAGCTCTGTAAGTTTTCGACGTTGGATGCTGACGACATTAGTTTTAATGGACTCACCTAGCTGAAGGCGCTCGGTCATGCACCGCACCAGATCATGTGTGAGAACGCCGTGCTCACTCAGTGGGTACGATCCATATTAGGTGTTACTGGTTAAAGCGTTGTCAAACTCCGAATACCTGTGGGATCTTCAGGCACAACACAGCAGAACGGACTGTAGACACAACTTCAACTCCTTAAGAGTTAACAAATGATGAAATTTGCTTCCGGCTGAGCTATTTCAAGCGCATTCACATGAGTCCTTTAAGAGGAAAAATTACCTGTTCTTAAGGACTAAGGATAATATCTTACAATGATTTGCCGATTTCTTTTTCCTCAATTATCGTTGATACACCTAGGTTCTTGCCTGAAAGTGTTGCTGATCCACTGTTGCTAGACGCGGAAGGCCGTTGATGAAACGCTTCTTCTATTTCGTCCACAACCATTCGAACTACTTGAGTTAACTACGAAGACATTGATCATTGGAAACGTCTTTAAAGTTTCGTTATCATAGTTACAAAGGCGCCTATTTCGAAGGGGGATTTGTAACATTAGCGACAAGGTAAGATATGGGCGAACTTTATTTTAAAATTATTAATTGGTTGGTCGTTTGGATCTATGAATTGAATTGAGCACTTGCAGTTGGTTAGAATTACATCAATCTGAGAATATACACGCATCTCTTTGGGTTATTAACTCCAACAGCAATTCCAGCCAACTAATATAGTTTCTCATTACAATCTACTTCTATTTTTGATTGCAAAATAATTTTAATCTGGGGCTCGTGTTATTGCTCATTGTTACCTGTTGCACTTTTTAGTAAACGTAAGTGCATTGTTGCTCTTGTTGGGTTGTCGACTAACTTTGTTCTTTTTTCCAGCCCTCACAAATGCTACTCTACATACTCCCCTAATATACCAAGTACCACCTAGCTAGACGTGAACCGCTTCACACGGCGAGAATGAAAAGTAAGGATTTCTCACCTTGGTAAAGATATTTCGACTTAGATTTGTTAAAATAATAAACAGAATTCTATAGTTAATTGCAAATTTGACAAACCGACGTAAAAATCCCCATCAGTACTCTTTGGTAATATATCAGATGACATTCGCCTAATCGACATATGTTAAGTTTACCGTTTTATACTCTTTAGAATTCTGTTAAGGTACGCCTATGAACGAAGTCTATCCATAATCCAAGTCAAAACCAAGGTTTATTTCAAGTGGTCCAGGCCAATATTTCAAGTTTTAAAAATTCTTCTGATGCAAACTTGCTTAAACATTAGGATTCTACCATTTAGAAAACCAAAAGGTTCCAAGAATTGAAACTCGGTGTGAAAACATATATGCCATGGTTATCTTGTTCGTTCTTGAATTTTCGGGGAGACTCTAATTTAAGGACGACCTTCAGCATATTCTAAGTCAACAAGTGAACCTTCCGGTAGAAGTTCAACCCCTGGAAATTTAGATGAGGAGAGTGTCATCTCTAAAAGTACGTCGACCACAAAGTTGAACAAGAATGGAGAGAGTGGACAGCCCTGACGAACACCACTTGATGTAATCAATTCTGATGACAGTTCGCCATAAGCTCCCACTCTACCAGTTGTGTTCAAGTAGAGAGCCTGAATAAGGTTAATGTACTTATTTGGTACTCCTTTCAGTGACAAGCACTTCCATAGAACCTCACGATCAACAAAGTCGAATGCCGCCTTAAGGTTGAGAAATACTACCATTGTGGGGCGTCTGAATGTGTCTTTGTTCTAGAACCTGACGTAGTGTGAATATCTGATCTATACAACCACGTCCGGGTCGAAAACCGGCCTGGTTTTCTCTAGTCTGCTCTTCACGAGCTTTGATTAGGCGTCGAAGTATTATTGAGGCTAATATTTTAGACACTATATTAGTCAAACTGATTCCTCTATGATTGTCACAAGAGGACTTTTGTCCTTTCTTATAGACTGGCACAATCAGTGATTGAGACCAGTCAGATGGGATTACGTCCAGTTCCCAAATTCTACCTAAGACCTCGGTTAATCTCATTGCTAATACTGGACCACCATCCTTAAAAATCTCAGGATTAAACCTGTCAGGGCCTGCTGCTCTCCCTCGTTTCAGATTTCCTATGGCTTTTTCAACTTCGTAAAGGGTTGGAGGACTTACATTAACTTGCCATTCACGTTGACTAGAGATCGTGGGAAACCGAAGTGTGGCTGAAGGCCAGTTGAACTGATCCCTGAAGTGTTCTGCCCATCGATCCAATCTCCTGGATTGGGAATGAATAATATGTCCATCTTTCTCTGAGATTGTTTCGCTAACGGTCGGGTTCCTAATTCCGGTTTCCATAACGAGTCTGAACAATTGTCTGCTATTACCTATTACCGCTGCCTTTTCCATCTCTCTTGCTTTCGCTACCCACCACTGTTCGCGATCATTGCGTAGACTTCTTGTCAACTTGCGCTTAAGCTGACTCCGCTCTTCACTATGTTCAGAGCCAGGTGGAATGAGTTTCCGAGCATCTATCAGTGCGATAGATGCTGCTGAGATCCAGTGTTGCTCCCTAACCTTCTGGTTTACCTTACTAGCAGATATCACTGCTGTTTCAACAGATTTTCGGATATGATTCCGTACTGCATCGGGGTGGGCATCACATACATGGCTGCCTAACTGTTTTTCTAGTTGTTCCTGAAATATACTCTTAGCTTGACTATCATTAATTAGGCCCCTAAGAGGTTTCCTTGCAGCGTCTTTCCTACGTCCAGTAAAGCGCAAGCAAATACGCGCTCGCACTAGAGCGTGATCTGAATCTAAGCATGTGCTCCGGAATGAGCGACAGTGTCCTATCGAGCCCCTCCATCGGTGGCTGATAGCGATGTGATCTATTTGGGTCCAACGTTGGGACGAATTAGGGGGTTAGTATTTGCAAGGAACAGGCGATTATCTGAGCATAGCTGCAACAGATGGTCGCCATTGTCTGTTCTTTGAGCCACGACACCATAAGATCCACCAAGGTGTCTTTCCCTATCGCTTAGTTTACCTACTTGGGCATTAAAGTCACCGACCACTATTACTACATCAGAGCGCCTAGCTTTTCGGAGAAGGTCGGAAAGCTTTCTGTAAAACTCATCTTTTACATCATCTGAGCTGCAGTCAGTGGGAGAATAGGCAGAAACGACGAAGAGGCAACGACGGGTGTCCCTAACTTTCCGGATTCTTACTGTTCCGTTCAGTCGGACAGCGCACAAACGGCTGTCTACTGGGATCCAGTCTAAGAGAGCTAGTTCTGCTTTGGGACTCAATGCTATACCTACCCCGGCAAGGTCACGGGAAGCAGAATCAGGGCTTCCAGATACACGAAGCGTGAATCGAGTTGGTTCTTTATTTTGGCATGGTGAGATCAAATGAATGACGCTACTTGGATCTTGTATGCGCGTTTCGGAGACGCAGCACACATCGATGGCGCGAGATTCTAAAGTCCTAGCTAAGGAAGCCTGCTGTCTTATTTGGCACAGTGTTCGGACGTTAAAAGCTCCTACGTGTAGTTTAGAGCGTGGTTTCAGGAGACCACGAATAGCGTTTCACGTACTCGAATCGTTTGCCCTAGCGGTGCGAGATGATGAAGAGGCGTGAGGAGGGTTAGTCATGGAGATAAGAGAGGTATTAGGAGGTGTAGGAAGGATTTGAATGTGACCAACTTGGTCTCGTGTGCTGTTACGGGTATGACGGCTGATGTCACTTCCCGGCTGCCCACACCGTGGAAGAGTATTTCTTGAGGAACCTGAAAAGGAAATTGGATTAGTGTTGGTCTTGACGACCTGGGAGCGTGACCGCAGAGCCCAAGGGACAACTGTTTGAGGCCGGTCGCGCACGGCCTTTTTGTGGAAGGTTTTTGACGTGTTAGCTCCGTTCTTCAAAGGGCCTTACTGCCGGAGACGGAAATTCGTGAGGTAAGGTGAGGTGTGACTTTTTAGGGTCGACCTTTTCTAACCCCACCCCTCCTTGTGAGAAGGCTGCATCGCTGTCATGCTGGTTGTCTGAAGGAAACACCTTACTGCTGTCACACCTCAGTACAGTCAGCAGTACGACTTCGCCCTCAGACTTTGAGTTGCTGCCTTTAGTCTTACCGTTCACCAATCGACCTGCCTGGCATGGTAGAACCTACAGGAACATATGTTCCAGCCAATATGACTCGGTTGGGTCATCACGATATGCAAGCCCGACCACAGCGTCATGGTAGCATCTTCGGTCGGGGACCTACTTCAATGTTCCATTCACGCTGTTTGGGAATGGTGAGTAGTTGTAGAGTGGCTGAAGGTCAGCTGAACTGCTTCTTAAAGTGTTCCTCCCATCGTTCTAAACGTCTGGACTGGGAGTAGATAGGAATGTCGTCTTTTTCCGAGATACTCTCACCTACACTTGACTTATTAGTTCCAGTTTCTTTTATTAGCCTGTAGAGCTGTCTTGTGTTCCCTATAGCCAACGCCTTTTCCATTTCTTTTGCTTCCGTTCCCCACCACTGCTCACGGTCGTTCTTTAGACTTTTGGTTAACCTAGATCTGATTTGTTGTCGCTCTTCATCGTGTTCAGAGCCTGATGGGATGAGTTTACGAAGATTTATCAGTGTGATAGACTTAGCAGAAATCCACTGGTTTTTCGTGACCCTTCAGTTCAAACCACAAATAGGTGTCGCTGCTATTTCCACAGCTGTCTGTATATCTTTCCAAGCAACATCTGGGTCAACCTCGTTTTCAGAACTACCTAATTGTGACCTCAGTTGTTCCTGGAACCTACTTTTGGTTTCCTCGCTATTCAAGTCAGTTCTAATGGGTCTTCCTACTGTGGCTCTTTTGCGTCCAGTGAGGCGCAAGCAGATGCGTGCCCGTATTAGGGCATGGTCGGAGTCCAAGCAGGTACTCCAGAATGAGCGACAATCTTGTACCGACCCTCTCCAACGATGACTGATGGCAATATGGTCTATTTGAGTCCATCGTTGGTTTGGTGCAAGGGGTCGCCATGTTAGATGATGTCTTTCCTTATGTTTAAAATGTGTGTTTGCAAGAAATAAACGATTGTCTGAGCACAGTTGCAGCAGGCGATCACCATTATCTGTTCGCTGTGCCGGGATACTAAAATACCTACCTAAATGCCTTTCTGTTTGGTTTAGACTACCTAACTGGGCATTAAAGTCACCTGCTACGAGTACTATTTCTGAACGTTTAGCTTTTTGAATAAGTTCAGAAAGCTTTCTGTAAAAGTCATCTTCCACTTCATCTGAGATGCAGTCGGTGGGGGCGTAGTCAGAAACAAAGAAAAGGCAATGACGTGTGTCCCTATCCTTCCGAGTTCTTACGGAGCCGTTTAGCCGAACAGCAAATAGACGAATTTTAACGGGGATCCACTCTAATAGTGTTTGTTCCGCCATCGTGCTTAGTGCTATACCTACACCTGCCAGTCCACGAGAACTGACCGTCGGGTCAACAGATACACGGAGGGTGTATCTCGTTGACTCTCCGTTTTGCCGAGGTGAGGTCAAGTGAATGACCACACTGGGATTCTGTATGCGTGTTTCGGAGACAAAACATACATCAATAGTACGAGATTCTAGGGTTTTAGACAGAGAGCCTTGCTGGCCGATTTGACCTAGGGTGTGTACGTTGAAGGCTGCAATGTGTAGTTTGGAGCGAGGTTTCAGTAGACCTGGGACAGTGTTTTGCGCACTAGAATCGTTGGCTATGGTGACACTTTAGGAGGAAGTCGAAAGAGGAAGTTTAGTGTTGAAAGTCGGTGTAGAAGGAATAATAGGAATTGAAGAGGAAGATTGATTATGAATACAGTGGTCTTGAGTGCTGTTAGAGGTATGAGAGCGGTTTCCACTTCCCGGTCGCCTACACCGTGGAAGGGTTGTTCTGGAGGTACCTGAAAGGGAGGTTGGGTATGAGGTGGTTTTAGTGACCTAAGGGTGTGACCACAGTGCCCAAGAGACATCTGCTTAAGGTTGGTCACATACGACCTTTTTGTGGGAAATTTTCGTTTTAGCTCCGTACTTGTTGAGACCTTACCGCCGGGGACGAAGATCCGTGAGATAAGGTGAGGTGTGCAATTTTAAGGTCGACCTTTTCCAACCCCACCCCTCCTTGTGGGAAGGCAGCATCGCTGTCATGCTGGTTGTCTGAAGGAAACACCTTACTGCTGTCACACCTCAGTACAGTCAGCAGTAGGACTTCGCCTTCGGACCTTGGGTTTGCTGCTGTTAGTTTTACCGTTCTTCAACCGACATGTATGGCATGGTAGGACCTTGAGGAACGATTGTTCCAGCTAATATAGCTCGATTGGTTCATCATGATAGGCAAGCCTGACCACCACGTTAAGGTAGCATCAACGGTCGGGCGTCATCCCAAGATCCTCGTGAGACTGGACAACGGGTACAAGCTCTTCCTATATGTTGTACGCATTTTTCTTTGCATCCCCAATATGCATGTAAGCACACTTGGACGCGTCGATAGGCATTATCCGTATTTTAAAGCGGCTAATCAAAACATCTAAGCATGCCTGAAGTGCACTTGCATCTGTCTCTCCTGTTATTTCTCTCTGGATGTTTACATCATCTGTACATAATAGCATTGGGGACTCAACTATACTTGGGAGTCCATTTGCATACAGTATAGAAATAAAGGATCTAGGACAGTCTTTTGGTACTCAACGAAGGACTGGGTTACCGTTGGAGCTCTAGGAATTTATTTTTACTTTCTATCTACGATTTACCAAGAAATTGTTGATTCATTTTAAGAGAGTTTTAGCAACCTCTAGATTTTCCAGCTTCAAGAGAAGTTTATTATTTAGCATCTTATCAAATGCTTTGCTGAAGTCTATTTACACAATATCCACTGATTTTCCATTATCTAAATCTTCTACTCATTGATCTCTTACTATAAAGGAGATTTATTGTGCGAGACAGTCCTTTCCTGAAGCCATGTCGTTCGCTGTTCAACAAGTTGTTGGTTTCCACGGACGTCATTATTGCCTTTTTGTTTATTCTTTCCAGTATTTTAACTACGTCACTGGTGAGGCTGAAAGGTCTGTAGTTTGATGGGAGTTGTTTTGATCCTGTTTTATGTATTATGGTGACAATTTCATCCTTCCAGTCCGTAGGTAACTCACCTTGGCCGAGTAACATATTGAATGTCGTAGTCATTAGGGCAATAATATATTGTGCTATTTGTCTCAATATTTTAGTGTGTAATTCATCCGGTCCTATTGATTTTCCCATGTCTGAAGTGCTAAAGGTCTCTAGCATATCGTCTCGAACGAAGTCCACAGTGATCCCATTTTGTGACTGTATTTTGGTCTAGTCCGTCGTCTGGAAGAGGCTCTTGAGTGAAAATTGTACCAAAATGGTTTGCCATAGCTTCTGCTTTATCCTGATCACCCTCTATTATTTTAGATCCACTCCCGTAATTAGGTTGATAATCTAACACTCGGTTATTTTTCTTCAATTTATGTACGAGAACAGTCTCTTCGGCTACTTGATTACATACTGGGCCGACTGCTTTTCATATTTCCTCTGAGCTGTCCGAATTGTAATTATACACTTATTTCGTGCCAACCTGTAGCGTTCCATCGTGCTTGTTGTGCCGAGGTTGATGGCAACGTTCCAACATTTCTTCTTTTGTCTTAGTAAACGTCGAATTTTCTGGTCTTTTCAGGGATGATCGTGCTTCTCTTTTTACGACTGTCCAGAGTATAAATGGTTAAGTCATTTGATTGTATAATTGCCGGTAATGAGTCCATGCCTCTTCTACTGACGCTCCTGAGTCAATTATTCAGTTTTCAGCCGATACTACAGAGTTGATCGCCTTCATATCTGCGTTCCATATGTAAGGACGTGTCAGCGCAACTGCATGATAGGCCATCTCAGCCATGAGCTTGAGTAAGATAACCACGTGATCACTTCTCTCTAGAGGTGGGAGGAAGGTTACTTGACAGTCACCATCACCGTGCGTAAAGACTTAGTCCAAGAGAGACGAGTTTTTTAAGTCACCTTCAATGTTCTGGAATAAAGCTAGGGTGGTTGTGATTTCTAACAGCTTGTAATCAAACGATGTTTTTGATGGCCCTACTTCTAAGTTTCCGTAATTTATATACGGTGCGTCAAATTCGCCTACTATGGGGCCTTTACAACTGTTTGACCAGGATTTAAGTTTACTTAGGAGAAGCGCACCGGTTCACATCTCACTTATTTGTGTACCACTGTCTCAACAGCTCGTATGGTTAAGGCGCTTTTCGTGTACAGGACAACCCAGCCACCCCAACAGTTTAGTCTATCAGCCCTACAGATTAAGAAAAATGTAATTGAATTTCAGCTCCACACTTTTCTGACATTAACCATATCTCTGAAACGGTAATGGCACCAGAAGTTTCTGTGTTCACCACGTTTTTGAGCTCCACTTTTTTATTTAGCAGGCTGTGAGCATTTGTTTAGCATACCTTTAGTTCTGTGAAGAACTTTGCCGTACCACCCATAGTGGTTTGATGATCGTTTCGCTCCGAACGTTTACAATGTACAAACACTTAATTATAGGGTTTTACACCGTTTCGACGGCGCTCATTTATTTCTACCTCTGACGATCGTCTCAATATGACCAGTCAGGCTGAGATCGTCACAGACATATATTCGGGATCCAGTCAGTTTGCGTTCCTTTCTTTATCATAAGCAACTTTTATGTGTACTTTGATAATCCACATTTCGTCCTATTCTATGAAGCTTAATAATACTAACTCGTGCTACTATTTCTGGAATTAGATTGCTTATCAAGGACTTAATGTGACCTAGATCGTGTTCAAATCTAGCCTTCGGTTCCTTTTTGGAAGATTTTCTTTACTTATGAAAAATGACTGACCGCTCAGCGAAATCTGTCTTGTTAAGCTGTGAAGTTCTGTTTTCTGACATCCCATCCTTGTAGCACGATTTGGCGTCATATGTGCAGGTCTCACTCTGTTTTTTTAATTTTCTGGATGTAACCGTAAGCTAATCATTAGCCTTGATCAAATCATCTATACTGCTCATGCTTTGTTCCTGCGTAGTCTGTTTTTCGTTGATATGAGAATTCAGAGCTGAAACTTTCGGCTCACATATCTTAGAGCTCCACATAATTTGTTTCTTCTTAGCGTGCTTTTTTTCCTTGTAACGATGCCTACATCTGTGTATTTGTTATCCACTACGTTATGAAGGTCCCCCTTGATGGTTTCATTTACATGCAAAGCTGGACTTATATTAACACTCCGCTTCTTCTTAAACTGACATCTACTCATCTGCTGTTGGTTGTTTATCTGAGGGCATTTTCCTAGTTATGTTCAGCAGTTCAATCACCTCAAGAATCAGCAGAATTTGTAGAGCAGCACGCTTTGCAAAGCTCACGTGATATTGGCTTACAACACCTTTTACATGCAGCCGGTGTGAGTCCGGTGAACACATTGTGATACCATTTGTTAAAGTTGTCACAGTGCCTTCCATGCTTTACCAGAAAGAAGCATGTGGGTCTACCTCAACGATGTTTTCCTTGCGCCATTAAGGATTTTAAGTGATCTGACAGAGAGATCAACCCAGAGAAACTCCTAAAGCGCGAGAAGAAAAACTGATCCCTAGAATAAGTGTTTTGTGAGGCTCTAAAGGTGATAGACACTGAACACAAAAGGCTGAGACTTTTATGTTACTGTGACTGAAAAACCTGACTTAAATAAACATAAAAGAAGCGTTTACACTTTAGGATATAATCGACGATTATTGACTGACTGGTCGATTAGGTGGTTGAAGTCAAATATTAGAAAGCCACAGACATATATTTTATGCTATTTGGGACTTTTCAGCTAGTCATGTCTGTAATATTGGTCGAATATATACTTTCCAATGTATAAGTGCTAAAATGTTTAAAACTGATAAGTATGGGAATAATAAGGAATAGGGACCATAATTTATATATTTCAAGAAACCTGATGATTCACCATGCCTAAAAAAGATCAGCTCAGTATTTAAGTATTTAGCAATATGGGCTACCTAAATCCCAACCAAAACTTCTACCCTTCTCAGCTTCCCATGAGATAAATTATTTATTAGTATTAATTGTACCCTGCTTGGCTTGAAACCGTCTTCACCTTTTTATGATCGTTTTTAGCGTTTACAATTGATTTATCAAAGTATTTTTACTAAGAAAATGTCCAATATTACATTCTCTTATTCTTTTAGATATAGATAGGAAAGAATTTTTATTTGAAAATCCTGTTAATGATATACCTATGGACGTAAGACGAGTGAAACTGATCAGTCAATCAGAATGGAAACGTTTAAAAAACCAACTGGATAGTAATTTGGGTGAAACTGCTAGAATAGAAGCGAAGAAGTTAGAGATTGAAAAAATTAAAACACAGTCAAGAGAAATGGTAAAAAAGTGGACAAATACACTTTTGGTATGCTCGTTTGTTTATTTTAGTAGGCATTTTGTTTCTTATCACTTAAGTATATTGAAAAGGATAATGGTGAAGTGTATTTCATCATCACACTGAGATTGATTTTGTGACTAGTAAATGTTTTGTGGTCAGACTAAATTCTATACTTTGTGCACACTAATGCTAGAGATATACGCCTTTTTGGCCTAATATGACTAGTGAAATTGTGATGAGGTGAATGTGGCTAAAATTTTATTGGTTAGTTTGTTCTGGAGAGCGATCATTTTCTCGTGCGTGACCTATTTGGTGGCCATCTTTGTAGTCTGTCGTCCTACTTAAAATTCGCCAACATGTAGGATGAAACATCCATCTCTTTCTGTAGCGTATCGACCCTGTGACCTCACGTTGTGTTATATAATTGAGGACTCGTTTGCTTGGTTCTCTCTCATATCCCATCGGCTATTTTTGCAATGTTGTCTATATTCAACTGCTAGGATCTTTTGTACATCATAATGAACTAAAGTTGTTGGTTAGCGACCTTAAAAGGCGGGATAAAAAGATTAAAAGACCTTACAGGCGGCGTTTGGAATGGGAGTAGTGTATCGTTATATGACGATACGTTTATAAATAGTGAATAGTGTGCGTAAAAACGATGTATATGTAAAGGACAGAAGTAAATAAACGGAAATAATGATAATAACAACTGATGCGATGTTATAACACAGAAAACATCTACTAAACTACACCAGTGTATCATATGTATCTATCATGTTCTATATTCTACTGCTAGCCACTATTCATCTCTGCTCATAAATAGTAGTGAGTTTAGTTTACATAACTTTCCATCGATATGTCGATGAAAGTTACATGACCCATCAACCCTTATTCTTCTCGTTTCAAAAGTCATTTCAGTAGGAAGCAATCTGCCTGTTTCTTAAGTTAAACTATCCATATCTTAATTTGTCTGGTTCATTATTAGTTTTAAACTCTGAATGTTTCATCAAAATAGGTTAAGAAAAAGTGTCGTACTATATCCATGATGAGTTGTAGTCGTACACTTCGTATATTACTCGTCCTGATAACCATTATTATATAAATCTAAACGGTAAAAATTCTCCGAGGACATTAGAAAGCGTTGACTGCCTCTTTGTCGTTTCTGCCTACGCTCCCACCGACTGCATCTCAGATGAAGTGAAAGATGACTTTTACAGAAAGCTTTCTGAACTTATTCAAAAAGCTAAACGTTCAGAAATAGTACTCGTAGCAGGTGACTTTAATGCCCAGTTAGGTAGTCTAAACCAAACAGAAAGGCATTTAGGTAGGTATTTTAGTATCCCGGCACAGCGAACAGATAATGGTGATCGCCTGCTGCAACTGTGCTCAGACAATCGTTTATTTCTTGCAAACACACATTTTAAACATAAGGAAAGACATCATCTAACATGGCGACCCCTTGCACCAAACCAACGATGGACTCAAATAGACCATATTGCCATCAGTCATCGTTGGAGAGGGTCGGTACAAGATTGTCGCTCATTCTGGAGTACCTGCTTGGACTCCGACCACGCCCTAATACGGGCACGCATCTGCTTGCGCCTCACTGGACGCAAAAGAGCCACAGTAGGAAGACCCACTAGAACTGACTTGAATAGCGAGGAAACCAAAAGTAGGTTCCAGGAACAACTGAGGTCACAATTAGGTAGTTCTGAAAACGAGGTTGACCCAGATGTTGCTTGGAAAGATATACAGACAGCTGTGGAAAAAGCAATGAAATCTATTAGTGACTTAAACCACATTATTACAAAGAACCAGTGGATTTCTTCAAAGTCTATCACACTGATGGATTCTCGCAAACTCGTCCCATCAGGCTCTGAACACGATGAAGAGCGACAACAAATCAGATCTAGGTTAACCAAAAGTCTAAAGAACGACCGTGAGCAGTGGTGAGGAACGGAAGCAAAAGAAATGGAAAAGGCGTTGGCTATAGGGAACACAAGACAGCTCTACAGGCTAATAAAAGAAACTGGAACTAATATGTCAAGTGTAAGTAAGATTATTTCGGAAAAAGACGATACTCTCATCTACTCCTATTCCAGACGTTTAGAACGATGGGCGAAACATTTCAGTTGGCCTTCAGTGACTCTACAACTGTCCATTCCCAGACAATGTGAATGGAACATTGAAGTAGGTCCCCCAACTCTAGCAGAAGTTCAAAAGGCTATAGTTAATCTGAAACGAGGAAGAGCAGCTGGTCCAGATGGATTGGCTCCAGAAGTCTTCAAGGATGGTGGTCCAATTTTAGCGGTTAGGTTGACTAATATTTTAGCTAAGATCTAGGAGTTAGATGTTATTCCATCTGATTGGTCGCAATCACTTATCGTCCCAATATATAAGAAAGGATCAAAATCATCTTGTGACAACCACAGAGGGATTAGTTTAACAAATATAGTATCTAAAATACTAGCCTCAATAATAATCAGACGCCTAACAAAGACTCGTGAACTGCAAATACGAGAAAACCAAGCTGGCTTCAGACCTGGTCGTGGCTGCATCGACCACATATTCGCCATTCGTCAGGTTCTAGAACACAGGCATACTTATCGACGTCCGACAATGGTGGTCTTTCTTGACTTAAAAGCAGCATTTGACTCGGTAGACCGCGAGATTCTGTGGCAGTGTCTGTCATTGAAAGGCGTACCCCAGAAGTACATAAACCTTGTAAATGCTCTTTACTCGAACACTACTAGTCGAGTAAGAACTTATGGCGAACTGTCATCTACTTTTGCAACCTCAAGTGGTGTCCGTCAAGGCTGTCCACTTTCTCCATTTTTGTTTAACTTCATCATAGATCTACTGATGGAAATAACTTTCTCATCGACCGAGTTCTCGGGTATTGATCTCCATCCTGGAGGTCCACTTATCGATTTAGAATACGCAGATGATATAGTCCTGTTTGGTGAAGACGCTGATAAAATGCAGTCTTTTGGTAGCACTAAGCAACAATGCCAGAATGTTTGGAATGCGCTTCTTCCCCTCAAAATGCAAGTTGTTGCTTCAGGACTGGCCTGCGTCAACACCTGAACTAAGGATAGGGAGTGAAGTAGTCGAACGCGTTGACAACTCCACTTATCTTGTAAGTCTGATCAGCCCTAATGGGTTGCTGTCTGACGAAATCTCAGCACGGATTCGAAAATCTCGCTTGGCTTTTGCCAACTTAAGTCACCTATGGTGAAGGCTAGATATCCGTCTATCAATAAAAGGACGAGTATACTGCGCGGCAGTCCGTTCTGTCCTACTTTACGGCAGCGAAACATGGCCTTTAAGAGTAGAAGACACTCGTAAGCTACTAGTATTTGACCACAGATGCCTTAGAAATATTGCTGGCGTCTGTTGGGATCACTGGGTAAGTAATAGTGAGGTTAGACGTAGGGTATTAGGGAATGATGGTAAGTCAGTTGATGAAGTTGTGAATCTTCATCGACTGAGATGGTTGGGCCACGTGTTACGTATTCCTGAACACCGATCACCACGTCGTGCAATGCTAACGGGTGTTAGAGATGGTTGGAAGAGAATTAGGGGCGGCCAAACCAAAACATGACATCAGTGCTTGAAGACACTAACCTCTAGTCTGAGCCATGTTGGTAGATGCAGACTACTTAGTTGGGGTCCGTGTGACTTTCGTAACCGATGGTTGGAGACTGGGTGACATGGCTCAGAATCGGTCACAATGGCGTCGATGTATACATTCCCTGACTTCCCTTAAACTAAGAGATTAAAAGCACTTCATATCCTTCTTTCTACGAACTAATTCTACATTCCGGTACTGTATCCTTATATGCGATCTTTCTTCTATATATTACCACCTTTAACCTAACCACTCCTATGAATCCGGTGTTCATCTTGCTGTGCTAATGAGGTATGGCAACCTGACCGATGTGCCTGATCCTACATTGTAACTGACTGACTGACTGCTGATTACTGTTATACAGTACAGATCCCATCCCACAAGCACAAACCTACGACCTCATCAGGTGCTGGTTTCCAATGATACCCTGAGTGAGGTCACTTTGTGACGAAGAAGAACCCCTACAAAACAAACTAATCTTTACAGAACTCTTTCAACTAAACTATGATAACCAAGTTAATCGTGGCTTACTTCAAGATGCTTTTGACTGATGGGTCCAAACATGTCGGAAGTGGGACAGTTACCAACAATGAGATTAGATAGTTGTCACGTGGTATCTCAAATTAATTGAAGCTGACTCTGTGCTACTAGACGCTCGCTTGTTTATTGTGTTATATCTTTAACCATTCATAAAGTCCAGTTAATTACAAATCCTATAAAATCAACATAGTATTAGTGTACGTATTAAGAATTGTAAACTGAGTGTCGTTATGATCTGGTAGCTCACTTCTCTACTCACTTGAGTTGAGAGTCTAAGGAGTAATATATGTCTGAATACTCTCTCTGTTGCGCACTATTGATAGTTTCTGGAGACTGAGAATCCACTCAACCTGTTGATTGTGTGACTACAACAATAATGGTCTTCTCACTAGTATTATATCCTAATTCAGAATCATTTTGTTATTTCAATGAAAGTAATTTAAAGGACTGAATCTGACCTTCATAAACGGCATCATTACAGCCAACAAACTGATGAATCATAAGCCTAGTTAGTGTTTTTTCAATGAAAAATGGTGCCTTCAATATTCTGGTACAGTTCAAGCGGATAAAATGTTGCTACCAAACAGGATAGACCAAATACTGTTCTAAAAACAAGATAAGTGCTTAGTGCAAATGTTGGTGGGCTTACTGTGAGTTGACGGACTATTCACTGCCCACGTATCTTCGTCGTCAGAAGACTAATATTATATATATATGACTTATGTATTCATTTGGCCTGAAAAGTAAAGCTTTCTACACATTATTAGTCTCCTTATTTTGAATAACTGGTTGGCCAATCCATTGATGACTGAACCAGAGCAATGAACTCAAGTGTGTTATCGTACAAAATGGGTTC